CGATAAAAACTTATCATCCAATCAGATTTGACCTAATAAACCATCGTCAGTGACGAAACTAAATAACCAATCAAAGAAACTAACACTATTTCACTTGACAGGGTTTTACGCTGATTGAAATCCCTTTCAATTAGATTCGACATTCAATTCCATGTTTCTCATTTAGTCGAAGATGTCTTGTCCAGAGAACGTCAGTTTTTATTAGTTTATCATTTGACAGCGTTTATATTTGGAATAAAACAACAAAAATAACAATTTTAGCTTTGTGGACTCTCTGAAAGGGATGCTGAGTTTATAAATCTAAATATTAAATAAATATCATCTATTATTAAAAGCCATGAGGACTCTCTAAATGCTGAGATAAGAAACAGTCCCAGAAAGGAATCCATAAGTCTCAGTCCTAATGATTGTACTTTCCAAAGTCCCAACCTTTCCCAATCTTCTTATCCCATTGGAAAGGAGTCAATATTCCACCTGATTTCCATGAATTATTTGCTCAAAAGTACCCCAAAAGGAAGTTCTAGTATGCTAGATTGGGAAACAGGCCCCCTGTTCTCAAAAAGATAGGATATCCTAGGGTCTCAATGTTTTACACTGTTTCTATGATATCCTAGGGTCTTAATGTTTTTTACACTGTTTCTATGATATCCTAGGGTCTCAATGTTTTACACTGTTTCTAGGATATCCTAGGGTCTTAATGTTTTACACTGTTTCTATGATATCCTAGGGTCTCAATGTTTTACACTGTTTCTATGATATCCTAGGGTCTTAATGTTTTACACTGTTTCTATGATATCCTAAGGTCTCAATGTTTTACACTATTTCTATGATATCCTAGGGTCTCAATGTTTTACACTGTTTCTATGATATCCTAGGGTCTTAATGTTTTACACTGTTTCTATGATATCCTAGGGTCTTAATGTTTTACACTGATTCTATGATATCCTATCATTAAGATCTTTTTGAGAATACACAGCAAAGGCTTTCAGCAAAAGAAGAACACGATTATTATCTATGTGTACTGTAATTATAGGATGACAAGCTGCATGGCTTTACTCTTGGCAAATATATAGGACAAGGACAAGGACAGGACAAGCCATTATTAGCTACATACAAGCAGAACTAAATGTGGTGGAACTAAGGTGAATATAATGACAAGTTAACAAAAAGGCACGATTAGACCAAAATGTCACAAAAGCTCTGAAATCTAAAATGTCTTTTCTTCTTTTTTTTATGAAAATAGAAAATACCAAAATATAATGCACATTTAATTTCAATTTCTAAGATGAAAATTGTTGGGTTTTTTTTAAATTAGAAATCATGTAATATCAGTAAA